GATAGTTATGTCATCTATGTACTGTTGAAACATAGAATGTCCCACTTGTGTTGGTTTGTAAGGGCATCAAATGGGGTTGAAATCTAAAAAGTTTTGGTTTACTCCATCAATTACATTAAGGTTTTGAGTTGGATGTTGGACTTCTTCACATACAATCAAAAATATTATATGGGCCGTCATATGTTTCTGCATTCAATTTCCTGCCCTAGACTTTTAGAGAACAAATAGTATCTTGCGGCTTGAATGTTCCCCCTTGCTTAATATTAAACAATAGATATTTCAGCTTTTGATCAGTGTTCATTCCAAGTTGCACAGTAACATTTACACTTCCAAGTTTTGTATCGGTGCTTATTCCAAGTTGAAAGAAACATTTATTTTGTCCATAGGAGTTTTACAATTCATCTACGGGACTAGTAAAGAGTATCTTATAGTTGCTCAAAATACTTTTTACCAATTCGGGCTTTCTAAATTTTTAGACCATCTGTAATGCAGATACATGGTACTTGTAGTGCTAAAAGATAATTCATCCATCATTTGGATACCTTCATTCTCCTTGTCCTAGCTTCAAATTTTTTGATTCTTTTGTGTTTAATAATATCGTAAACTACAGTATTTTTCATCACCCCACTTCTATGAATATTTCTTTGTTTCTTGTAGCTAAATTTGATGATTCTGAGCGGCTTCGCCCTGAAGAATTGAATCAGCAAAACATTGAAGCTTTAGTTGCTGAGAGCAATTTGGTGGGTATCAAGTCAAGTTTGAAAACTTCTCATTTCAATTTCCTTAACCACGGGTTTTCATTATTTTATGTCCAAAACAGAAGCATATATTGTTCTTATTTTTCGAGTTCACAATTTTTTTTTTTTGGAAAATCAAGCCCCCCAATCCCTGGGGTTCTATTCCACCACATCATAGCATCTTGATGCTGAGAACAGCACATCAAAGTCCTCATTAGTTGTCAATACTTTGGAGCTATCTAATAATGACTTTATGCTTCAGAAAATGGAGGTACTTCCAGTCAGCGATCTGGACGTTGCCCTGCACAATTTTGTTAACAAGGATGAGAAATTGGCTTTTTATTCTTGTGTACAATACAACCTTGAGGAAACTCGAGTAAGTATGTCAGTTTGTTATGTGGTAGTCACTATAATCAGGGATATTGCTACTTCCATTTTTCTTCTATTCCTATGTATTGCTACTTTAAATGTGTGATACTAAGCTTGAAACATTTCTTAACAGAGCAAAATAGCTCGTGATTCAGATCCGGTGAAATTCGAAGAAGATGATATAATTTTAAAAGTTGGAGAGTGCTTAGAGGTAAGAATTTTTTAACTCTCACTGTGAGACCATATGTACTACTAGAATTTTTTAACTCTCACTGTGAGACCATATGTTCTACTTTTGTAGTGGTGGGGACAGATATTTCTTTTTACGGTGGTGATTAAGCTAGGTTGCGTGTACCTCGACTATTCCACTCGATACCTGCTATCTTCCACCAATACAAATATAAGTAACTCTCCGTAAGGCCATATAAGAAGAATCACCTAGTTTTTTTTTTTTGTCTTTGTTGGGATGTGAACTCTGATCTCCAAGGCTTGTACCCCCCACACTTCATGGAGCACTAGGACAAACCCTTGGTTGCATGGACATATACTTTCAACTCAACAACAACATAACCAGTGTAACCTCATAGGTGTGGTTAGCCTTTTTTCAATTGGGGAAAGATAGGTTGGGCACCCGTTCACTATCTTAAAAGGGAGATAGTGCGGTCCAGGTCAACACATATAAAGATGGCCTTCAAGTCTGGCCCTTATGGTCCATTCATGATTGTTCACTACACAGTTCAGATTGACAGAAAAATTTGCATATGCTTGGTCATGTTCAGTCATCTCAACTGTACATGTGTTGCTAGTTAAAATTTGGCCAAAGATGGTATGCATCGGTCTTGGGATGATGATAAGAGCTGTATTCTTCTTGCTTGGAATTGGACAGATGGAGAAGTTCTTCCAAACATTCTATGACCCGCGATTCACTATTTTGCATAATTTTACATATTGATATCTATTGTTCTTCATTGTACTTATCTTTTTGGGCTTCTCTTGGGCTTGTAAATCGCACAATATCATTACTGGTATCTAATGTTGTGATATGTCATTACATGGCTTGTGTAGGAACGTGTCAAACAAAGAACTGAAAGAAATAAAGATGATCAACCTTTCTCCTTTAGTGGACAGTCTTTGGAGGTATTCCTTGTATTTTTAAGCTAAGGATGATCTTATAGGGTCAATCTCCATTTTTATTTTGTCCAAACACATAAAATCCAAGGGCATCTGATCCATAATGTTTAAGGACATTGTATTGGTTCTCAGGATATTAGAGGCAAAAGTACTGGAGTAGGATCTGCAGTTTCATTCAGTGATGATGAGGATGGCTCTATGCCCTCCGCCTCAAAGTCTACTGCTGGAAAAGGAAGGAAAGAGTCATCTCAATCTTTTAGATCCTCTCGTGAAGCTTCTGAAGTTGGCAAGACCTCTACAAGGGGAAGGGGTAGGGGTAGAGGCAGAGGAAGGGCTTCCAATAGCTTGAAGCAGACAACCCTTGATGCATCTCTGGGATTCCGTCAGTCACAGAGGTTTATCCTAGATTCCTAGAAGTGATGCTCCAGTTTAACGTTTATTTGTCCTGATATTGTCTTCTTTACATATATTCCAATTTGACTATAGTTTTCACATGCAGAGGTTTTTGCTTTGGGTTGTGCTTGTATCTTACTTTCTTTTGCATCGAAAGGTTTCCTATGTGGCTTGTTGCTATTAAGCATCAAGTATTATAAAGTTCCATTATATCTATATTCTCTACTGCTTTTCTTAAATAAGCAAATAGATAACACTGATTTTGCTTTGATCAGTGCAAATACGCAATTATAGTGACTACTTCTGACAGTTTTGGTGTTTTAACATTTTGGTGTTTTATTGTGTTTTTTTTTTCAATTACTATATAAACTTAAACTTTCATCAATAATTTACTAAACAGTTTGCATCTAATTTAGAATTTGCTATAATTTTAGGTAATGTAACCATTGTTTGCAGTTACTCCATGTCATAGAAGTCCTTTACATAGAGTTTGTTGCTGCAGATCTGCATCAGTTGCCGCATCTGCGTCAGTGCGAAGTATTGCCGCAGATGATGAGAATGTGGAATCTCCTTCAAGTGATGAAGATGCCAAACAGGACACTACCGTTATTGACGAAAGCTCAGTATGTCCGATCTTCCTTATTGTGTATATTTCTTGCCCAAGCACTTCCCTTCCTGGTCTAGAACGATGTGTTAGGGAAGGGAAAAAAGAAAATTGGAAACAAGTAAAGGCATTTAGCTTGCACACAAATTAATTGCAGTCTTATGTGAGCATTATTTGCGTTTTGTACAATCAACGGCAGCATTCTGCACACTGCCTACGAATGGAAAGCAAAAGACTGGAAGTGTTAGAAATGGCAATAAAAAACCTTAGCATGAGTTGATGACTACTAAATTCTACCTCTCCTTTCGTAGCCTGAGAATTGAAGTTAGAAATTCCAAACGTGAATGAAAGAACCTAAAATTCGAGTAAGAAGGAAGGCAATAGATGTCTGTTCTATTTACTGATGATCTGTGGAGACACTCACTCTTAGTCCTCATTTGCACCTCTAACTGTGGTGCTTCAGCCGCCTATTATGTGATGATCACTTTTGCATTGAGTTAGGAATTAGGAGTTCCAGTTGCTTTTTACTATTGATGAATGTAATATTGATCAGTGCTGTAACAGAAAACATCACCACTTCAGTTTGAATCTATTTACCCCTGTGAAATTTTCTTGGATGTGTGCATGCAAATTGCAAAAGCTGGTTGGTGAAAAGTTTTTCTTAGACATATCATAATTTTCTGTCTCACTTCCTCCTGCTGTATGCTACATAATCGCGCCTTTATGTGCTGTCTCCTGTTGCTAGGATGATGATAAGACGGTTCAGGCCAAAGGACGCAAAAGGGCTGCTCCAAGGGGAAGGAGTAGAGGTTCAGCAACAGCGGCTAAAAGGGGAAGAAAACCAGATAGCTCCTCATCTTCACTTCAAAGGATGCTCATGGATGTTAATGAAGATGACGATGACGATGATGATGACATGACAAAGAAAGAGAATAAACCTCGACCTCGGGTAAGTGATGTATCAGAAAGTATATATAAATTGAATCATATATATGCTTTAAAGGCAATGCTTATAGTATGACAAATAAAATTTGAAACTTATTTCTTCTCCATACAATATGTTAATCACGTTGAAGTTGAATTTTGCTCTTTGCTTCTTCTGTGGTGTGCTTATAATTATGCTGCCTTCTTTATAGTTTATGTCTTTTTAATTATCTTTGTGAGAAACTCGGTCAAGCACATGCTTCTGCAATCTAATATTGTGGCTTGAGTCTATCTCATCATTATGCATGATTACCTGAATACGTTCAATCATTTCAAATGAAATTCCTAATCAGATTTTAGTGGCTCATTTTTTGAAGAAATAAATTGTAAACTATGTTATTGGAGAATTACTGAGTGATCAAAGTAAACTAAGATTTCATAAACTCTTGCTGTTTTCTTCCTTCTGAGTTCTGAGGTAAAGGAGACTTAGGCCCATGTTGACGAGAGATGCAATTGTTTTTAGGGAAACTACATATAAGGAACACACTTAAACTGTCTCTGCTTCCGTGAGCATTCGAAAAGTTGTGCATTTTACCTCACCTTACAAAGGTTGGTTTTCTAATTTGGACATGGCGTGCATAACTTATGTTCTTTGCAGGCAACTAGGAATTATGGTGCTTTAAGGAGGTGACTGTACCATTTGTTTCATTCAGGGATGTTGATTATGATGACCAAATTTGCCTAGTGAGTTGTAAATACACTAGTAAGTTACAGAGTGTTTTCGGTTTCAACTCCAGTGTTTTATTTCGTATTTGTCAATGTTGATACGCGGAGAGTAGGTCTTTTTTTTTTTAGTATGCATTGATTATACCGATGGCTTCAATTTTGGCCATTCCATTTGCTTTAATGAACAATGACATGGTTATGTTTCTTGTGTGTGGTATATAGAAGTGGAAATGTTGCTACGAGCTGTGATGAGTTTTGTTAGATGTTTTGAATACATTAGAATCTTCAATGCTGGTACTACAAAACCTCATATGAGAAATATATCACATTATTTCCAACACATATATGTAAAAACTTATTTCTTTGACTATAGTATTCAATTTTATCTCAGTACGTAGACTAGTGATATGATCTTGTGACAACTTAAGCCACAATAGATCTAAGTTCTTAATTCTAAAAGAATACAAGGTATGTCTCGATTTTTAATTTTTAATCTCTTTCTTGATATAATTCAATGTTAATTTTTCCTCTTTTTTTCCATTTTTTTTAAAGTTCTGATGTTTGATCTATTGAATTGTGGAATTTTGATTAGAGTTTTGTTGTGTTCCTCTAAAAGTTCTAATTTTTGACATCTTGATTAGTTGAATTATAGATCAAAATGTTTTTATTTTTTATTTTTGAGGTCTGAAATTTAAAGTTAATTGTGTAGATCTATATCTAATTAGAAAAAAAAATTCTTGTAAATTTTGTAGTTTTGATTTTCTAATAACTCTTGCAAACGAATGGTTCTTATGTCAGAAGAATAATGTTTATCATATCATGGAAGATTGAAATAATGATTTTGTGTGATCTGTCGTTGTATTCTTCTTTAACATATTAAATATATTTTACTTTTTCCTACATACCCAAATCTTTAATTTTTATTGCGATTGATCAAGTCTAACATTTATCTATCTCTAGAGTTTGAATTCTTTTGAAACATAAATAAACTAAGTCTCAATTCAAAGGTATATAAATAAACTAAGTCTCAATTCAAAGGTATGTCAAATTTATTCTATAAACCAAATTTTATTTTGTATATCTTGATTCATTACTTGTATTAGTTATGTTTTAGTTCATTTTATATATTGTTGACAATAATATTGACTGTTAAAGCAGAATATTCAATAAAATACTACTACAAAACATAGCAGTATTGTAAAATGTGTCTAGTTATTAGATTATGTAGCAATATTTTACTAAATCAAAGTCTAAATTTGTCTAGATATGAGAAAATGTAGCATTTTCAAATTGAGGTTCTTAACCAAACACTGACTTGATTTTTATTTACGTGGGATTCCTATCCAAGCAACTTCTTAAATCAGGCTTCTGTGGCATATTCCACTTCTTTGACTTCTTCATTGCTGTTGCAGTATCACAAGCAGCTTCGGCTTCAGCAGCTTGGGCGGCAGCCTGTGCAGCTGCTTTGTCTTCTCTATTCTGCTTAAATCAATATAATGCAAATACATTAGTAGTGACATTTTCCAAGAATCATGTTTTTACTATAATCTAGTCTAATTCATAACATATAACAATACTTACCTTCGCATGTTTATATGAATCCTATTGGTAAACATTATGTGTTGCTATATTCACAAATAACCTGAATGACATTCTAAAGAATTGAAGTCATTAAATAATACTTTATAAAATCTTTTTCAGTCCAAACACATCCCGTTTATTGCTAAATTTTTGACAACCCTTCACTCTGTTTTTGAGGTCTGGAATTTTAAGTTAATTGTGTAAATCTATATTTAAGCGAAAAAAAAGAATTCTTGTAAATCAGGTAGTTTTGATTTCCAAGAACTCTTGCAAACGAAAGCTACTTATTTCACTTTGATTTGAAGAAGAATGTTTTATCATCTTTTGCTAATGTTAATATTAAAATTCATCAATCTGGTGGTCCCAACAAAAAAAACATTAGAGCTCGGTCCTCCAAGGCCTGTTAGAGCTCTCTTCAACCTGCTCATGGCTAGATCGATCGGTTTCGGGTCAAATAGGAAGAACTAGAAGATTCCACCTCTGGAAAGCGTCATTAGTTATGTTTTACTTTATATGTAATATATGGTTGACAATAATATCAGCAGCATTCTTTAATCTGTTATATACACATAACTATTAGTAATTTAGATGGTTGACAAGTTATTTGGGTCTTATAAGAGAAGACAAAATTAGATAAAAACTTTGGATTTGTGACACACAAAAAAAGGGTACTATAGATTGTTTTTGAAATACAATTTATAAAGTAATTTGTTGTGGTAGAATTCATATCAACACTTTGCATGCATAAATTATTTATTGAAGAACTTTCATATATAACAATTCAAAAATAGCTTGATTATGCACCATAACTATAGTCTGCTAATTATGATTTGTTATTAGATTTTATACGGAGGAGAGTGTCGAGCGAGATAGAGAAGGAGGAGAGAGGCGAGTAAGAGAGGGCAAAGAGTGTGAGAGAGAGTGAAAAGAGAGGTGAGCGAGATTGAGAGAAGGAGGAGAGAGGCAAGCGAGAGAGAACAATAATTTATAAAATACACATCTAGTTTGTATAATTCAATCTTTTTTTTTGTCTAATTGAGTTATACAAAGTCTAGAATTATACCAATATGAAAAAACTTGAAATAACTAATTGATAAAAACATAAATATTTGAACTTTAAATATGTATACAAACTATATTATACAAAATTGTATTATATAAGTTATATTATACAAAATTCGAGAATTATATGTTTATACAAACTTTAAAAAGTTAGAAAAAAAAAAGATTTTGTATATATGGTGATTGTAGACATTCAAATTTTTTGGGACTCTACAATACGTTTTTAATTTGAATCGGACTCTAGAAGGGGGTGTTTAATTTCAATTAGAATTCTTGGAGGCTTCTCAACCTAAACCTAGTTCATGTATATATAAAGGGTACTAAATTTCCTTAATAGGTATTTCGATATATTTCACAAATGTTATGGAATATTCATATAAAGGTCACATCTAAATCATTTTAGTGTGAGAAATACGCCACTAATTACCCTCGAATCATCATGATAAATTAGTGGCCCTCGTATCATTATGGTTAAATCTTAGGAGAGTACAATCGGGGAGGAAATATTTATGTTTTTATAGATTTTCTTTGTCTGGTTTAACTATATATTTAGAATTTGTTGCAAATAATTGTCACGCCTAGTAGGACCAAATCTACCATTCATCTCTTCTTTATTAAATTAAATTTGAAAATCTTAAGCTGCAAAGATGGAAGAATGAGTACATCAAGGCTTTTCTTTAAGTTTCATCTAGTCTACACTCCGATAAGCCTTGAAGCAAGACATTTGTAGACATTCAAATCTTATGGGACTCTACAAAACGTGTTCAATTTGAATTGGAACTCCAGAAGGTATATTTGGTTTCAATTAGAATTCTTGGAGAGTACTCAATCATGAACTCTAATTCATGCTTATATAAAAGGTACTAAATTCCCTTAAAAGGCATCTCGATATATGTCAAACCTAATCATTCTAGTTTGAGAAATATGTCACTAATGACTTTCGAATTATGGAATCATGGATAAAGTTTATGAGAGTAGAATTATCACGACCCAAAATGATTCATGAGTGACACCCACACTTAACCTCCTAAGTGGGCGAACCAAGAAATCTAAACTTTAACATAAATTAATAATTCAACTACGAATACCAATAAAATGTGAACCTCAAAACTTATTAAGTAACCAATTAAATAAGCTTCTAAAGTTTAACACTTATTATCCCCAAAATCTGAAAGTCATCACATCAATGACATCTATTGTCAAATCACCAAGTCAAAGAGTATTTAAGAAACTAAAATAAGTAAAATGATGGTTCAAGTCCGAAATTTAAGGACATCAACACGTGAATGAGAGAATCCAACACGAGCTAGAATTAATAGCTCATCCTGAACTCTGATGTGCTGGGAACTGGCTAGAGTTAAGGGCGAGTCGAAATCGATGATACACTTGCTGCACTCCACAAAAGAACAACTAAGAAAATAAAAGTAGTGGTCAGTACAAGCAACACATACTAAGTAGGTATCATTGGTCAACCCAAAAAAAAAACCAATATATATTGAATAATAGTATAAAATCAACTACAAATCTCAACAGGTGAAAAACAACAAACAACATGAACAGTGACAATAACACCATTGTAGGTACATCATCAATCACAATATCGAACAAACCTACGAGGACTCATACCTCCACACCATACTCATTTGGAAAATGGGTTCTTTGTTATTGAGTATTTTAAGTTAATTCAAGATTCCTTTCATTTAATGTTATCGTGTCGGAACATGACCCTCCAATCTCATATATCGTGTCGAAACGTGACAAAATCTCATTAATTTATTTTGTCAAGCCTCCATTATTCAAGGCATCATTTTGATAGAGAGGATTCAAGACTATAAATTCAACAGTCTCAGAATTTTAGGCCAACCACAAACCACACAATCAAGTGTATAGGAAATTTCACATTATTACTAAATACATATCAATCACTATTCAGAGTTTATCTATCAAATAGAAATAAACCATAACTTACCTCCATCGAAAAACGAAAGTCAAACAACTACTTCTCCAATAATTTTCCTTTTCTTATTGCCTCCGAACCCTTCCAATGTGGTGGCAATCGCTTCTGATTGACGCCGGCGGTAGTGTCTCTCTTGTTAGTCTTTTTAAATTTATGAACTAATAAATATTAAATCCTATTATTATCTTCTTTAATCATAAACTAAATTAATTATTAAACTATCCCACTAATTTCATAATTATAATTATAAATAGTCCAGAACACCCATTTAAAATCTATCGGAAAGTATTTTATTAAAGAAAAAGTTCTAGTGTTTAAAACGACTGAATGAGTTGTTATAAGAATTAGGAAGAAAATAATTATGTTTATTTAGATTTTATTTGTGTGATTTATTTGTTTTCTATATATTTAAAATCTATTGCAAACAATGATAAACTAGAAAATCAAAGAAAATCATCATCATATATAAACACAAACCGTCGAAACCAAATACAAGTCAAATGAAAAATCGTTAGTATGGACTTTATAAATATGGTAAATTATACAACATGACTAATTATACAAACTCAAAATCAACCTATACAATTAAGCGGCAAGTAACAATTATCGTAATTATTAATTTTTGCTAACTTATGAGTCTTTTGAATCATTATCTTTTAAAGATAACAGAATGGACGGACACACATTGTATTTGGTATATGTTTAATTAGCTTTTTGACAAGTAGCAAATATGATTACTAGACCAATATATATCATATGGATTTCCAACTTCGAATACAAAGTGGTTTGAGCCTTAGTATCCTATTTTTTAAAGTTTTATATTTGAACTATCAGAGATATGAGTTTCTTACCTCAACTATTACGTATCAATTATATACTTATCATAACATGTCTTAACTACTAATCTACTATCATTTGTGACGCTAGTGATATTTCAAGCGGGAGAAGTGTTGAAATGAGAAAACATAATAAGTTTAGGCAATAACAAAATATTATTTGTAAACTTGGGAGGATCGTGTTTAAAAATATGTGTTGCACGGGATTAGAAAATAAGATATATTTTCCAATGTTTCATAACAATAAGGTGTTTTCTATCTTCTAGTTACTTAGGCATCAAGCTTACTCAATTTCAAATATTTTTCAACTTGGTCCGACCAAGATCTTGCATTTGGACTAATGTCTCCTTTCTTATTTTAATCTTATGCAATTGTTTGTGACTATATTATATAGCATGTATTATTATTTCGTAAATAATATATATTAATAATTTACAATAAGTTTAATATTCAATAGTTAATAATTCATGTATCGTAATCTCTACGTAACTAAATAATATCTATATAACTAATATCCGCATAATTAAACCCAACATAACTAAACTTGCATAACTAAACCATGCATAGCTAATACCCGCTTAACTAAATCCTGCATAGTTAATAACTGCATACTAAACCCTGCATAACTAATACCTGCATAACTCTAACCAGTAAGCAAACATCCCCGTAATGTATATACTATACAATTATCTAAAAGTCTTGGAAAAATATACACTGATTTTACAATATATCCTACTTATACATGCAAATAAATATTCATTGACTATACATTGTGATACACTCAAGAAGTTGAATAAAAATTAATGATATATAATTCGCTTATTGGCCCTATATAAGGTACCTAATTGTTTTCATGAATATTATTGTTATAGTGTCAAACTGTCAAATTCATTCCTCTCCTAATTTTCTCTAATTGTTTTCATGAACATTACTGTTATAGTGTCAAACTGTGTCTTTGTGCATATTTTATTGGGAATTTACATAAATATACTATAATAAAAAAATATTTGTCATTTATAGCAATAATTTTGTTATCTCACTTGATCACTTTTAATTTATTTATAATACAAGTTTAATACATATTACAAAGAACAATTTATTATTCACATATAATACAAATTTTAATGATGAATAATATATTTATCACACATTTTTATACACTTATAATACAATGTGATAATTTTTTACCAAACAAACATGATATATTTCAAAAAACAATTATAATTCACATATATTGCATACATAATTCACTTTTAATACATATTACATATTTAACAAAGCATTGCTATAAATGATAATAAACAAAAGGTATCGTTAAAATCAGTAATTATTTCTTAAAATATATTAATTTATATAATTTTTCCTATTTTATTTTGCACTCAAAAAATATATATCGTTTTCAAACACAAGTTGCCAATTACTTACCAAACTCCTTTTCTTTAACGTATTAATTTTAATTCGAAAAAATTATAAATAAAATAAAATTTTGGAACAGTGCTAAGTTGAAAGATTAGTTTGAAAAGAACTATAATCGGTAATGTTTTTTTTTTCTTTTGTTTTATTTTTGGCCCCATAAACATATTTTATTATATAATTGGCAAGGCTTTTTTATTTATAGAAAAGCCAATTATATTTTATAAAGGAAAATTAATTTCCTTTGGAAAGAACTGACCAATGTTTATATTTATGGAAATCCCAATTATATTTACTAAAGGAAATAAT